ATATGCTAATTGGTATAGTCCATAAAAAACCATGAAAAATTACTTAATTAATTCCCATCCAGACACACTCATTCAATTATTCTACTGACATGTTTCATTCCCCACGGTAAGCACATTAAATAGCAGACTAAATTAATTGGCATCTATTTGCGTGTACATTCAAAAGTTTACTAGTACTGATGTTGTCTCTTTCCAACCATCATAGTACGTACGTCTATTTAAATTCAACATTGTTCTTTTCATGTCAGGACGACACTTAGACAATGACTAATGATTAAAGTAAAATGATGACGAAGACATTGTCATATGAATGATGGCATTTTTTAATGCATTATAAATGTAAGAAAACTGATACAGGAGAAGGAGATTGAAAGTGATATTCTATTAAGGAAGGAAGATAAAAATGGGTTTATTGTATCAAAAGGATTGCTACTCACAGAATGTTTAATATTATATTATTTTAATATGTTAATTCCAAAGCATCAAGAAGTCTTCATTATAGGAGTTTCCAAGACCTAAAAATACATTTTGGAAGTAGCGGAACTGCTTGGTTCCAGAGATCTCGATTCCTCTGTAAAAATGAATGAAACGTCCAAAAATCCAATAAAATTATTTTCGAGCAGTTTTTTCAGCTTTACTCGCTTGATTGAGAAAATTTTCAATTGCTGCTTGTCTTTTTATATTCACACCGTTTTCACGTGTGAATCTATTGGTTTTGTTCAGATTGAAAAATCAGTTTTTAGAATTTTGTGAGGATATGGAGCAAGATAGCTTAAAATGTTCAGAGATGAAAAGTTTGTGCCTTGAATTTCACATCTTTTGCAAAAAACAGATTTCAAATTGGTTGCGGCATTGCTGAGAAAATCGCAAAATACGCTTTCTGTAAGCAAGCAAACAAGCAAACAAGCAAGTTAATCAGCAAGAAATCTCAATAACAAGACATCGTAGAGACTTCTAGTTTTTTACATTTGATCCGTGCTGCTCTATAGAAGAGCTGTATTGTTTTTGGGCAAGGTAGGAACAGCCGTTGCTTCAGAAAAAGCAAAAAACTTTCCTTTCTTACGAATTTTTCAAATTAAAAGTTCACTGTGATTTTTTTTTAAATTAAACTTTGGATGAAAAAAATTTTTTTGAGCAAAAAACCAAGTAGAAAATACATTTTCAATTTTGGACTAGAGGCGACGCTAGTCAAAATCAATTTTGTCACTTTTTTTTTCGAGGGTTTATACAAATGGATTGAAACTTTGCATAAATATTCTAGTGCTTAAAACAAATACAAATAAAACATCTTAAAATTTTTTTGAGCAAAGAACCAAGTAGGAAATACATTTTTAATTTTGGACTAGGGGCGACGCTAGTCAAAATCATCTTTGTCACTTTTTTCTTCGAGGGTTTATACAAATGGATTGAAACTTTGCATAAATATTTAAGTGCTTAAAACAAATACAAAAAAAACATCCTAAAATTTTTTTGAGCAAAGAACCAAGAAGGAAATACATTTTCAATTTTGGACTAGGGGCGACCCTAGTTGGTTTGGTTTTACTAGCTTTGCTTCTTGTTTTGGACTGCTGAATTTAGGTATTTGAAATTTGATATTTATACGAAAAAAATTGTATTAATTTTGAAGATAAGGACGAAAATCGAACACTTTGATTTGGATACATAATTCTCTTTTGTAAATGAAACAGTCGTTTAGTCACGTAAAGAGTTTTCAATATAAAGTAAAAATGTTTAACTGTGTCAGACAATTATATAAGGAGTTAAAATACTTATATTTAAAAATGAAAAAATAAGCTTAAAGTTTAACATGATTGACACATATAAGGTGGTTAAAAAAGTAAATCACCAAACGCAACGTAGTCAAATAACAAGTAATAAATCATACTTAAAATTGTTTACTCGTTTTTTTTTAAATATTTAAACACATGCTTTGATAAGCAATATCACTTGACCCTCAGAAAGGAATTATACGGATTGTGATATAATTACATTTAATTTTAAACCATTAAGCATTCTCAACTGCGATATTAAAAAGGTAAATCATGGGAAGGCCCAGCTTTTTGAGCTGAAGGCACTGCAATTTAAATTAGAACAGCATCTATTGTGCTACACCCTTAAGATCTACAGTTTAGAGTGGAATCCGAATCAATTGCAAGCTCTGAACATTGCAAAGACACAAGTACGTCTAGAGATCTGATGTACCCTGCGATATTCCTAGACACAATTAATGTATGCAAGATGCAATCATCCCAATGCTAGTCTATCCAAATATACCTAGCAAAGGAAATCATATTAAAGGTGACATCAAATTTTATTCGAAAATTTTCCTGGATTTTAATAACTTTGAATCTTTGAATCTTGAACTATTTGAATCGTTTCAAAATTAATATAGTTTCCATATTTATGTAGTGATTTCATAGATTTGGTTCTAATACACTTCGTAAGGATTTTGAGAAGAAAAAAAAAATACCAACCACCCTCATACTTAAAGTTAAAAATGTAATTATTTACCTGAATGTAAATCTTTTAATTATTAACAGTCGAAATTTTAATTGATAAGACTGACAATATTGATATTAAATTATTTGATATGATCAATTTGGGTCAATTATTCGAATTTAATCCCACATGAGCTATTAAAAATTTACGATTTTGTATTTATTGGTGAACTTTATCTGACAATTTTATCAATTATTGATGTTTACGTATATTTTAATGGGATTTGCTTATACATGTGAATAAGTTTTAATTTATTGATGTTGGATTTTTATTAAAATATTAATTTCTGACACTAGTCAGGCTATATATATATTTTTAAAATTTTTAGTTTTATTGATTCATATTTCATTTTTTAATTATAATTATTAGCTGCACTGCCATAAATTTCGAAAAAATGTTCCCTAATACGGTTTTTGAAAATGCTTATTGAGTTAAATTTCTTAATGTTTTGTGGCACTGAGTTGAAAAGATTAGGACCTCGTATGTAAAAGGTGTGACTACTTAAGACGGAATTATATTTCCTAGCATATTCAAGTAATAATTTAATTTATTACAATAATTAATAGGGTAAATGACCTTGAAATTTGCGCAAAGTCACACATGAAATTTTCATTTGCTTCAAGCTCTTCGGAGGATTGAAATTGAGCCCTACTAACGATCTTGAAATGCAGGGAATCATTGATATTTTTGTTTTTCTATGGATATAGAAAGCTCTGCTGTGTCAATGCCAAGAAATTTGACTTTCAAGTTTGAACTTTGAAATTTGCGCAGAAAACTTTGAAAGTTGCGCAAAAAAACCTTGAAATTTGCGCACTTTTTTGACAGCAATCATTGAATCTTGGAAATAATATTGTTGAAAACATATCCAATTTTAATATACATTAATCAAAATATAAGGGAAATGATGATGTTTATTACCAAACTAGGCTATCCAGAGGCGCTCGTGGCGCCTCTTATCAGGGTTAAAATTTGATTACTATTATGTAAATAACTGTAAGACGCAAATAACCATAATGTTTTTAAGGTCAATCCTACCACAAAACTTCACATGGCCTCACAACCCCCCTCGAACTCGGACTTCCTTAATCCCACAAAAACTTTATAAATGGCTTCACAAAACTTCACATGGCTTCACAAACCCCTTCAAACTCGGACCCCCTTAATCCCACAAAAACTTTATAAATGGCTTCACAAAATATTCCTGACACTAAACTTTTCAGCACTACACGGCGTCACAAACCCCCTCAAATTCGGACCCACCTGACACCCACATTGCCCCTCCCCCACCTTGTCAACACCCCCCCAAACTGACACCCACCTTGTCAGTACTCCTCAAATCATTGGCTTCACACGGCTTCACAAAATATACCTGAGTCCCCCTTGCCACCATCCCCCACCTGACACTCACCCAACACCTGACACCCACACCCACCTGATAACCACCTTGTCAACAATCCTTAAATTTTTATCTTCACACGGCTTCACAAACGTCATCACATAGCTTCCGTTCCAGAGTCAGTGAATCAGTGAGTTGGGCTTTTAAATATTAGAGATTATATGATTAGATTTAGTTTGGTGAAAATCCGTGAAAGCTTCAATGTTCAACATGACGATCTTAGATGTATTAGGAGTAAATCCAGCGTGGAAAAAAAACACTAGATAAATGGTTTCAAAATAGTTCAAAAGCACATAATAAATTTAAAAAGGGACAAGCAAAATGATGTATCCATAGTAATTCAATTTTAAATTTTTTATTCAATCTAAAAATACTCTGATTTAAGCTCATAAAGTAGTATAAAGTCTTAAAGCTATGTTCATTTTATTGCCTTTTTTGGCCGGTATCTATGATATTTCACTGCGCAAATTTTAAAATTTTTCATAAAATTTGCGCAAATTTCAAGGTTCAAAAACAAGCCATTTTAAAAATGAATTTTAAAGCAGTTCCAGGTATCATTTTGAATTGGAACCATTTGAAAAATTTTAAGCAATGTCAGATCTACATTTTCCGATACCAAAATTTAATCTATACCAATGAATGCATCTTAAAATCAAAATGTAAAGAATTTTAAGTTTTGTATGGGAGTTTTTGGTAATAAATTATTAAGCTTTCTAGTGCCTTAAGACCACTAAAAATTATGAAAAAAAAATCTGTGCTTGTGTTCTGCAGACATTTCCCATTGATCGTCTGAACAGAAGTGCAATTTTGAGATATAATTTTTAAATTTTCGTTTTCACACGAGTGCGCAAATTTCAAGGTTGCGCAAATTTCAAAGTCATTTACCCTACATCATATCAATTTATCAGAATTATTCATTTTAAGACAGAAATGTAAATTTTTCACAATTTATCTTTTAATCGACATATCAATTTGTAATTCAGGAATATAGTCATAGTTGACTTAAAATGGATAAAGCAATACTAAAATTGATTGATAAACCAACATCAAAGATTTCCCATCAAAATTTATTGCTGAAAATTAATCACAAATCATCAATAAGTCATTAATTGGCAAAGTGATTGCTAAAGCATCCTCCATAAGCAATTATTCCATTCAATGGCGTTGGTTGATCATCGAGAAAGTTCATTGGAGTTTTAAAATCTCGACGAAAATTAATTAAAATTTGTGGTGAAGTCATGTCCCTTAATCGTTCAACATAGTTTTTGTCAGCATCTTGCATAATTGTTTTCCATTTTGCAGCCTGCAGAGAGTGGTGATTATTAACAGAAATCATTTTATGTGTGGTTTAAATATTGAAGAAGTCCCTTTTATTTATTAATGAATATAAAGCCTAGGTGCCGTTCACTTATTACGTTCGCATTTTAGGGGGGAGGGGGGGTTTGAAAAATTGTAACAAAATGTAACATAGGGGGGGGGGGTGTCAAGAAGTATGTAACGTTCTAAAGTTCAGTAAAAAAAATTTGTTTACAAATTCACACCAAAAACATTTTTTAAACTTTCCACCTTTTTAATGATTTATGAATGTCCAGATCACTATTGATAGCTAAGCAATACATAGTTTTTGTTATAAATGTTATTAATAACATCATATAAAAAATTATCAAAATAAAATAAATTATGAACGTTCAGGGGGGGGGGGTGTGAGTTGTAACATATTGTAACAAGGGGGGAGGGGGGGGGGGGTTGAAAAATTCGTTTTTGCGTAACGTAATAAGTGAACGGCCCCCAAATAAATTATCGATAAACTGTTATAACTGCCAAACCCCCTCAATTATGACCATGACATGAAAATATCATCTCCACATGACTATACTCAATTGCATTTATACATACATTCATCATTTTTGTAGGTTCTTCCAACACCTTAGGAGGCATTTCATTGAATGGCTCTGATATTTTCATATTTTGCATTTGAAAGGCAAGAAATGCCACGTAGGAGTTCCGTACTTTTCTATTAATCGTTGGTTCGAGTAATTTGGTAACCCACTTACGGACTGTCTCTGCATCTAAATGAGGAATTAAATGAATGAAATGTTTTTCCGTCCTTAAGAGAAGTGCCATAAATATTAAGCTGCAAATCTTACATCTAAATGTGATTGTTGGAAGCAATGCAGTCACAATATGAAAATTATTTTGAAAGACTTCATCCATTTGCTCTTCCTGGGCTGCTTTCTTATCTTCCTTTGGTGCATTTGATTTATTCATAGACGGTCTTGCAGTCAATTTATTTACTGAGAGTCTTGAACTTGAAATTTTGAACATCTTTTTTACTGCGGTATTGATAAAAAATTTCAATTTAGATTGGAAAATGATGATTGTGAGGTAAATGTTTGCTGTAAGTGAATTTAATTTAATTTATATATTTTTCTTCTTTCAATGCCATGCTGTGCTTGATTTTGATTGGGATACTTGAAGATGGAAATTTATTCAATATTGAATTAAGATTTGGGGTTTTATGGAGTAAGGTTGTTGAAGGAACTAATTTTTATTGGTTAATTGTGAATGAAATTAAATTCACTGAAATTAAATTTGATTCTAAAAGATTCGATTTTATTATAACATTAGGATTATTTTGAAAATTCAATGGATTTGGGATTTTGAATATTTAAACAAATTAATTACTTAAAAATCGATAAAACTTAATCTTTAAGTCCTTAATGATTTTACACTAAATTGAACTCACTTCATTTCATCTCAGCTTGATTTAATCAAAAATAATCTCTTTAAAAGAAACTTTAAGCCTTACTTTATTAAGATCATGTCCCCTTCTTCAACTTTGCTTCTATTATTCATCATGCTTCTAGTTGAGAGATTTCTTATGAATTAAGGAAATATGCACAATAAAATAAATTATTTTATGAGAAAAAGTTGTGAAGCGTTGCTCTTTAAATTCACTCGCCTTCGTCTTCCATCTTTTGTGATGTAGTGATGCAGTTTAAGAATGTAAAATATAAGTTTTCTGTACTTTGTAATTGAAACTTGCTATTAAACTACTCGTAATTTTCAACGAAACTGTAATTAATTTTGAGAAGAAAATATTTGTGCCATGTGCTGTAAATAATTTTTCATGAGATTTCAGATGCACTTTTAAGTGGGTAAGAAGAGTTATTGAAAATAAAAATTCTGTAGCTTTAAACTTAAAAATAATTACTTGGGATGAAAAATGAATTTTTAATAACCAAACTTAAATCATTAAGTTTTAAGTTTGAGGTTATGAAACCAGCTTATAGCTTCAACTAAGAGGTTGTTCTTTAACCTCCCTCCCCCTCCCTCTTTTCACACAACATCATTCCCCCTTTCCATCACCCTTGCAGCTGTTGAATTCCAATCTATGACTAGCTTAACTTTAAATCAATCAATGCATAGATAAATATTGCCATAAAATCCATCGCGAATCACATCTACAAAGCTTAAACAGACACGCAAACTTGATGCACAAAATCTATGTCATAAAACAGAATAACTTCATTCAGCAATAAAATCACACAAATTTCAAAGGGTTTAATCGAGAGATTAATCAATATTAAACTTAATACTAGCAATAAATCCCTGGTGTGTGTATGCCATTAGTTAGGAGAGAGCAGATTTAGACGACACTTAAAAGCTTTTTTTATTGTTTTTCCTATAAAAGAGAGTCTACATGGACACGAACATCAGATTTTCATTCGCACATAGTAGTTTTGAGGAAAATTTCATTGAGACAACAAAAAATGAAATGGAAGAAGCAAAAATAAATTCAACTTTTCAAAACTCAATTTAGGAATCTGTTGTCTCATTTGCTGCCGCATTTACCCTCTCATTTCATCTATCCCTTGCTGGTTTTTTTCCTTTTTCATTTCTTTCAAATTTAATTTTCAATAATGGAAATTGTACACACACAAAGTATCACTAATCCTAACATATCACATCACCCCATCATCATCATCATCATCCTTGCATTAAGAAATGAAATGAGAATCCAAACTCACTTGGATGGAATGAAAAGCAAGTTGAAGGCAATAATTGAAGACGAACAACATAATATTTTTTGTATTGCTATTCAGCGTCAGTGATGGCACCAACAACAATTACATAAAGTAAAGTAGTCATTGTGTATCGACATGACATTTTTGCTCTTTCTTATGTCTTGCTTATTCACGACCTAGTTGCGATGAATGTGTCGGAAAAAAAAGTTTAAAATTAACCTTACATTCTTTAACCTAGAAGCATGCATGTATAAAAAATTCATGAGCTTTGTTCGTGACAGTTTTTCTTGAGGAATATTGTATGAGCTAGTTCTTCCACCTTCTTTAGATCACATTCTTAGAAATTTTTTGTAGTCTTAGCGCTTTTGTCTTTTGATTGTGGCTCGTTAATTTTTTATTACGTTATGTTGGACATAGCAATTTACCAATGAATGGCATGAACGTTTTTTAATTCGAATTGATTTTATTGAATACATACAAGTTTTGTGTTCTTTGTTATTGTCCTTCAATTCAGATAACATATTGTCACGGGAGTATAAAATCTGAGTGTTGAGTCATGTGAATGCGACCTTTAAGGTTAAAAAGAAGTTAGATTTCAAGATGCCTGAATCTGGTTATTCACTCTTACTCTTACTCGAATGGCACAAGTCGGTTAATCGATCAGAAATCTGGCATTAAGCTGGTGTGACTTTGGCATGGTGCTTGATTTAAATCGAAGCCAGCACCATGCCAGAGTCATGCAAGCTGAGCGCTGAATTTTTATTTGATTCACCGACTTGTGCCATTCGGGTTATATTGATATATGATGTTACTTTATGCGCTTATGATCTATCCATACCAAGTCTCTAATATTACTTGGTTTTAAAATCAGATTTAGAGAAAGAAAAAAATACACACCACATTCCTTAACTCGTACTTAGAGTGTTTTTCCTTCGAGTTTTCTTGTTTATGGAAAGTAAAAAAGGTTGAAGAATTAATTTTACGTTTGCCAGAATAATAGAATAGAATCAATCAATTGGAATAGACAGAAACACTCTACAAAATTCGTTTATATCTTTGCTTAGATCTTTGAGAAAGAAATCAATGTGCTGACGGGTGCAGACATCTTTTCGGGATTGAACAGGTAGATCAAAAATTAGAAAAAAAACGACAGAAGGGGATCCAGACCCCATCGGCTACGTCCCTGAATAATGTGCAGGATACGTCCCTGAATAATGTGCGGGTTGCGTCCCTGAATAATGTGCAGGAATTAATATATGGAGCTGTACTTAGTTCATTATATGTTCGTCAAGATGAGGAATTAATGGTAACATTAACGCAGCCATAACGCTGTTCTGCATTCTAAATTTAATAAATGAATTAATAATATTCCTTAAATTACGCAGTTTCTTTAATATTCAGCGACTTAAGTGCAAGTCATCAGCCATAAAACCACAAAAGTTTTTAGAATCTGCAGTTTCACAAAACACAAGTGCTTACTACTTTAAGTCATCCCTTTTCAATATCTTTCCACTTTCCTTTTTTCATTACATGAATCTTTTATTCTCTGAGTGCCTTTCTCGCTTTGTTGCATTTGAGTGATGGTTCAGCTTTAACGAAGCATCTTAACTGATGGCATTTTTCAAACGAGCAAATTGAGATATTCATGAAATGTCTTTATAATTGATGAAAGTAAATTTTACGCTATTTTAAGTAAACGACTGATGAACAAATTTTGCCTTTATTTGACTTAATTTTGAATCTTTTTTTTCAGACTTGATAAAGGTTTATTTCTGATTTGAAGTTCTTTTTTAAATTTAAAATTTATGTTTGACATTTAAAAAATAAATTTAAATTCACAATTTTTCTTATTCAAAATCCAGACTCTTAACTGGAAACTTTAAAGCACTTGAAACTTCAATTGGAAATAAATCAATCGTGTGCAGTTCCACTAAAAAGTTTTTCATTCAATACTTTTCAATTCACTCTTTTTTATTAAAATAATTCAATTTAAGTTCGCTGAAAGCAGCAACACAGTTTTCTTGCGAGGTCACGAGCTGCCAACAGCAAACCAATTTTAACCACAATTCTGTGCATTACAAAAATAACTTATATATCTGCTAAATTTCCTGAATGATATGGATCAGCGATGAGGTTAATGGAAATTTTACGTAAATTTCTACTGCAATGAGTAATTGTTTGGATAGAATTGTACAGTGGATTTTGCGGTGAGCTGTCAGGATTTTATATTTAACTTGTAGATGATGTTCTCATTCTATTAACCTTCCTATCCACGAGCACTGAAACTTTGTAACATTACCAACCAATTAACAAACTTTTCACATTTGCAACATTTTACGTCCATTTTAATTAATACTTTAAAAGCAATTTACTGCTTGTTGATGAACGATAAAAGCTCTGTCAAAAATCGTTCAACTTATGCTCATCATCTGCCTTAATACCATTCATAATACTTTACTCATCTATGTAAATCTCTCACTCAATTCCATTCGAACAATTTCATTCAAAATTTTGTTTACCAAATTTATTTATTTTTTTTCAGTACAATAAAGAAGCAGATGGAAGATGAAGAAAGTTTTTGTTATAGCAATTCTTTCTCGTTAGTTTGAGTGGGATTACTAAGCATAAATGCTCAGATAATGAAGCTGAAAAATGAACTGTTCGAATTGTAAGAAAACTTCGATCTATTAACTTCATTGAATTAAGCTTTTTAAATAGAAATTGGAACAGCTTTTGTTAAAAGATTGATACAAGATGTCGCAATAAATTTTTATAAGATTGATTGAGACAAGATTGAGATTTTATGTTATTTATTTTTTTTATCTTTTTTTTTTTGATTTATTGAAATTTTTTGTGCGATTTTGACGAAATTTGCAAAATTTTAATAGATTTGATTCAATTTAATTTTGTAAAAGCAAAAATATGTTAAATGATAAAATATCTTTAAAATTTTCACAAGCTAGACCCAAAATTCCTCCTTTGATTGTACAAAACCACCCTAAATCAATTTCATTGAAATTTTTTCCTAATAAACTCATAAATATTTATTCAATATCCGGTTTTCTTTGATGTCCTTTTCAATAACAGAAGCGAAATTCTCCATATTTCTGTTTTCATGTTTGACCCAAATTGTAAAAATGCCATTCCAGCTCATACAACAAAACTTGAAAACAGCTGTTTTAGAGATTACACTCGATCAATCATCTCATAGAGGAAATAAAACAAGAAGATGGAAATAAATAATTTGTAATGAAAATGATCCTCATAAATATGTAAATTTGATGGTTCCGAGAGAATATTTTAAATTCGTTTAAAATGAGATGTAATAATGCTTATTTACTAAATAAGATTTGAAATGTCTGCCGTCCATTAGTGTTACAGATGAAAAACATTGGAGCTTAAAATGAGGATTCAATTATTCAAGGATAATTTAATGATATCAGAAAGACTACAAATTAGCATAAAGATGGAACAAATTTATTTCTTTAATCTACAAGAATATTCTCGAAAGCTGACAGAAGTCAATTTCTATAACAGACTTCAGTGCATGATGAATTTTAAACTGAATATAGAGACACTTGAAATTTAAATGTATGCATTTGAAATTCAAATATGAGAGACAATGTTTTGTCTGACGCAGCGACGCATAACATCAAGTGATTCTATTTTTAGATAAAAAAATTCTTTTTGTTTCAATAATATTGCAAATTTATTCATTGCATTCTTTAGAATAGGGATCATTAACTAATTACGTAAAGCTTTTAGGGGGAAAGAGTTTTGAGATTTTGTTTTAATATTTCCAAGGCGTACCACTTAGGAAACTTATTATAGTTTCCAAAGGTAGGAAAAGACTTAAATTCCTTTACAAACTCCAAATGAGGAATTAAAACCAAACACTTAGCAAACTTCTGGAACTTTAGGTCTTATACATTTTTGGGAAACTTCCGAAAGTTTCTTCTCAAAGAAATTTTTTGAAATAAATGTTATTTTATATTTAGCAAATTTGTTATAAATTGAATTTGAGTTTTAAAAAAGAATTAAGCGAGGCACAAAAAAGGAACACTATCTGCTTTGGGGTCGTTCAAATATGACGTCCGATATTAACGGTCATTTTTAAAAAAGAATAGTGGAATTCCAAGAATTTCTATTGTTTCTATTTTGCTAACCACCCCTCCTTCCTCTCCTCTCTGGACGTCAAAATTGAACGGTCCCTTTATGAGTTGTGCAATTTTCGAACGGCTCCTAATCAGCATATAGAGAATGTAATTTGAGCACTATAATTTGTAATAAAAATAACAAGCACAACAAAATTTACAGCCTTATTTTATCAAGATATTTTGATATATTACTACAAAGTCCAGACTGCAAAACTATCACAACTTATGAAGATCGTATGCAAACTTGAAAATTCATGAATATTTTATTTAATGAATCATTTTTTATTTATGATAATTAATGACGTTTGAATTTAATAATTTATTTTATAATCACAATTTTTTAAACCTACTTTTTAACAAACAAAATCCTTCAAAAGATTTGCAATCTATTGACATTGAATATTATTAAATCTTCGTTAAATTCTTATCGCTATAAATCAGACTTGCGTCATTTCGAATGTTGGCAGTTATGCAAAATTTTGAAAAATTCAAAATTTATTTTCCGTTAAAGCATAAAACAAAATTTTGCTTTAATTAAGCTACAGATTATGAAGCTTTTCGATCAGTATCACTAATTATGTGATCAGTAAGTTGTTAATCATTGTTTTAAGTAAGAAAATTCCTAAATTAAGAAAATTCAGTTGAAATTGAAAAATGTCAACAAAAAAATGTAAGTGTGTAAGTGTAAAAATTTCTTGAAAATATTTCTGCAAAAAACTTTTGTTTCTTGATATTCATGATTTTAAAGCTTATCAATGTTCATAAATAATAACAATCTTTGATTCTAAGCTAGTTGACAGTAGTTATCATAGCTAAAATGCTCAAAATTCAGCATAGAATTTTTTAAAGTTTTACCGGTTGAATTGAGTTTAAATTTTCGAAATAAATTTCGAATTTTTCGAAGCCAATTTCGAATTTCTTCGAAATGAAATGACGCAAGTCTGCTATAAATCACTAGAAATATAAAAACGAAGAATTACCGAACTCATTGAGAGATAACTTTTATTTTATAAAGATGATTCGGTTTAGACTCAGTTGGAATATTTGTAGCTAATGAATAATTATTATTCATGATTTATAAATCATAATGTTTCAATTTGTTTATAAACATTTTTGTTTTGAGCAGATAATTTTCAAGTAAGTCAAAATAATTGTTTCAAAACCGCCAACAAAATGAACAATTAAAAGCAACAGTAAAATATTGTCCACAATCAACACTTCCAAGGACATGAATAACTTTTTGCCTGCCATGGAAATCTACTTCTAGAGCTACCAACTGCATGTGTTGAACCTCTACAACCTTGTTGACTAAATACTTTGCAATGATATGTGTTTCGTCCAGAATTGCCTGAATGGAATGGACCTCCGATAAAATTGATACAAGTTCTTCTTGTACTGTCTACTGTAAAGCACTGCCCTGATGTTTTACATACTGTTATATATCCAACTCCTGTCTGTCCATCATATGGTCTACATGCCAGAGCAATTGAAAATACACAAATTAAAAGAACTATAAACTTTAACATGTTTGCCTTAATTTGTCTTGTGTGAAGGAACGAATGAATATTTAATCTCTAAAGTGCTTTCGTTTGAAATTTTACTTTTGACTGATAATTTACTCGAACGAAGCATCTCTATTTTATACTCTTATTTACTGTCTCTTTCACTGCCTCATGAGATGTATGAGGGGATTTACTGGTACTTTTTTTTTCATTTTGTACTTCTTGTTATTGCTTATTCTATTTATTCTCAAATTGAGAGGAATGTATTTGTTTGGAATATAAATGATTGACTAAAAAAGACGGGGATATACTTTTAAAAATTATTTTAATCATCTTTGATTACCTCATGTTGTAAGCAAACTAGTAATATTAAAGTTGGGCTAGTTCCAGCGACTATTACAACTTAATTGAAGATTTGAAATAATTCATTGATGATGATCGATGCATTGACATCCAAAATTATTTGATTACTTTTGTCCTCAACGGACAATTGGTTCTTGTTTTTTTACAGACAGATTATGTCCTCAACGGACGATTGCATATTTGCAACTGTGCACAGTTGCATTGACTTAGGATCAGGTGCGTAACCAGAGGGGGGAGGGAGATTGCGGGGACAAATATTTTTTCTGTCCCCCTCTCCCAAATTCCTGGCTACGCCCCTGCACAGGATCCATTATTGCAAAGTACCTAGCCACAGTTCGCACGTCTCAAATCATACAAACCGAGTTGTCATGACTTAAACAGCGAAAATGCACCGATATCCGACTAGACATTATCTGGGATCGAACCCAGGTCATTAGGGGTGGTTGGCCAACACTCTAACCACTACGCTACTACTGCTTTTTCGCTGCTATTAAACTATATCTACTATAAAGCCAACACAAAAGTGCAATTAATTCCAAAAAAGTACATAGAACCTCAAAAAAACAATATGTTGATGTGATACTTTGTTATTAAGAGAAAAATTCATTAAAATTGATTAAAAAAAATCTCATTTAATATTTTTATGAAACAGAATGAAAACTCAGCTCGGTAAAAGAAAAAGAAAACCATAATAAAGTTGTGTAAATAAAAGGCAGAAAACTTTATGATGAGGGATTATTTTTCATGCAGTTGTGAAAATATGAGGCAAATTGAAATGTTTACAATGTGAATATGTGAATGAATCAGTCAGTCACTCTCTTTTTTGTTTTTAAAATTTAAAAAAATTTCTCGTAAGTGAGTTTTTTTGTTGAAAATTTGTTTATGAAATTTATGGCTTGTTATGATGTATGGCAAAATGAAATTTACCTGTAAATCATGTGTTGTGTATTTTATGAGGGAAAATGAGTTTAACGTTCAGAATTTATGAGAAGTTTTTGAAACATGTGCAACTCTGTAGTTGAATTTTTTGTCTACGAATCTTCAATGTAGGTTTGCGAAGTTTGAAATTTTGCGTAGGTAATTGTTATGATTTTATAAATTTTTTGTTTAGGAAATATTTAAATTTTCATCAATTTTTTTCCATAAATTCAGATTAATTCAAAACATATTTCAATCATAAACAAAATGCCATCAAATCAAACAATCATCTACTTATTTGCTATCGTTTGGTGCTTAAAAAGTTTTATTTTATACATTTATTCATAAGCTAATTTATCATCTCTGAATCAGAACCAGCAATTATTAATATTTCATTTTATACAATATTTAAATCAATCATGAATGAACATGTGACTTAAAATTTTCACTCTTTTTTTGACTGAAGCATTTTAAATTATTCCTGAGATATTAAATGAGTGACAGTTAAAAATCATGTGGATTTTTCATTATTATTTTATTTTTTTATCTTTTATAAGGAAAAGCGACTTAAAATGGATTCAAACAATTTCGTGTTCCATAATAACTTTAATTTAAAGAACTTTTAAAAATTATATGTATATATTGGTATAATTTTATAATGATTAAGATTCAGTGATATAAAAATGTCGTTTAAGAACTTTAAACTAACGGACACTTTTCATTTGAAACATTAACGGTTTCCATAATTTTAAATTTAAATTATTTGACGGACTAGATTATTAGTGTGTGCCTTAGCTAAACAAAACGAAGGAACTTGATGATTAAAAATGCACTTAAGGATCAACAACGAATATAAGAGGTGTTGAATGTCTTTTCTAACATAATTGTTCTTTGCAGTTGTTGAGCGCAGATTCATTTTGTATCGAAGTGTTCCTGCACAGGAAGATGAAACACGATGTGTTGATGAAGTTTATCGCTGTTTATTATACGTATTGGGAATTTATTATCTTCCGTATGTTTTTTATAAGATTTCAATCCTGTTGTCTAGTCTGCCTTAATCCATACATATTCATTTTCATTCCATTCTGGATTGTTTGAATGGTTTTAATGACTGTCGCAAGCATTACCCCATACATCCCGAAATATTGGAAATTTTTAAAAATATCTGCTTAAAAATTTGACAAAAATTTGTATCCTTAATACAGAAATAAGACTGAACAGAATAAAGCACAATAAAATCGCATGATAAATCAGAAGTGAGAGCAATCGTGAATGGATTATTTTTCACGAAAAAGCTAATATGTAAATGCATTTATCTGAGAAATTTATATCTAAAAAGGCAATAAGTTTAGCATTTTTATCTCTTGAATGAAAACAAGCACCTCATTCGCATTCATGACGTTGTGAATGAGTAAAACAGCTCTGCTGTTATTTTCATTGTTCTGAGAACTTTTTTGTGAATATTATTTTTCCATGGCACAGAACAAAAAGAAAATTTATTAATGGATGCACAGAGAAATTTTTCGCTAGCACAAAGCGAGACAAAAATGGCAAGTGAACATGTGTTTTCTTCACTTTTAATATGCAAATATTTTTTAACATTACGCTTCCAATAACACTTTCTATATCAAAACAATGGGATGTGTTTCATAACTTTGCTATGATAATCATGAAAGACAAACTCAAATGTCATTTTATGAATGTTTTTCATTTCTTCTTCTGTCTTTTGAGCTGCTCGGTTTTAGCACATTTTTGAAACTTGTTTCTAAAATGTAGCTTAATAATACACTTTGTTCGGCTGTTCGGGACAAGAAAAACTTTTTAATCAGACTTCGTAGAGAACTCGGGTTTGTTTTATTAGCTCAGTTCTATCGAGTTATTGGCCGGCCGAACAATTAAAAGTCTTAAAACAGTGTATTTGTACTTTAATTAATGATTTTTTTTTCATATGAAAAACACGCGATGCGTTCAGAAATTTGAATTATTTTATACAGTTGTAAAAATTGTAATCAGGATAAAATTAATGATCTTCTAATCTCTGTAAGTGAATGCAAAATTACTTGATGACAGAAAAGTAAATGGTTTTGATATACACGAGGATTTAAGATTAGTATTATAATGCAATATAAGCTATTTAAGAATGAATTCCAGAAATTAAAAAGACTGGTTCCAGGTAAAAAGTTGACTAGTTGGGAACTAAACTTGTGACTACCATTTGTTTCAAGAACAGCAATCAGTTATTTTTTAATAATAACACACTCATTAATAATTTCATCGGCATGTATTATTCATTTTGTTTATTTTTTTCTAAAAAAATGAGTCTTGTTCTAATTGTATGATTAATAATTAATCTTCTAGCATATTTTAATCCCACTGCACAGATAAAGGCTTCTCATAATATGGACTGTTGATTAAATCATAATGCGCAAATTTGCAAGCACTGAATCATATCTTTTTTGCACTACAAGCACAAAATTAGGGTTGCTAAGGGTAGTGATGCGTAATACAGGTGTTTATCGCCCTTCAGCCTATCCTATCCAAGTACCTACTCCACCTCCTCTGCATTAGGGGCGTTCACTTATAACGTTACGCAAAAAAAACGACTTTTTACACCCCCCCCCCCACCCCCTTGTTACAATATGTTACAACTCACAACCCCCTCTCCCTCCAGTCAGTGAACGGCCCCTCACCTGGATATGATAAACTGTCCAAACAGTGTAATACTAAAGGAGAAGGTTAGTTTGAGTGTGAGGCCTGACGAGCCAACCCTCAGGATTTAACAGTGTGGATTTAATTTATTTGACAGTACTTTAATTCAACCCGAAACATTTAATCACATTCTGAAGTAAAAACAAACATTTTCAGACACGTACATATTTTGTATATTGTATTTTTAAAGCACACACAGGCTGGCATTCACAATCCTTAGAAATACGCAACATCAAAACTCCACAATCATTTTCTCTTTAATGTTGAATGCCAGCCTCTATAGACCAAAACATTAAATGTGTCATGAGGAACATTACTGAAATGTTCTCCAAGCTCAAATATTATAAACTTTTGCACATTCATGCATCCTTCTAAGAGACATAATACTTTCAACATTTAAACAATTGAATATCTACAAAGACTGGATTTTCATACATGGCGAAGTTTACAAGCAACAAGAAAGTATCAAAAATTAAACATTAAATTTAAAATCCACATATACAAGATTTCACTTGCTGTTCTTAAAAATGTTTTGTTTACATACCGCATACGATGCTGTGCTTGAATTTCAATTATGGCAGTGCCTTTAATGTGGGAGATTTTGTATGCATTTAAAAGGTTTACTGGTTGCCTTACAGTAGAAAAAGAATGAAATTTAAAGGAAAGCTTTTTTTATGTTATGAGATTGGTAATCAATAGGCGTAGGAATTGAAATATCTTTTGTAAAACATACTTTTGAAATTATAACCAAGAGAAGCATTTATTGAATTCGTGTAAAATTTCAGGTTGTACGAAAAAATTTATTTATTTTTTATTTTATTAACATTGCAAGTTTTATTTGATTTTAGCAAAAATAAATCAAGATGAATAAAAGTTAAACAATTAATTTTTTAAAATATTAGGAACAAAATAGTAATAACAATTTTATATTATAATAACAACTCCAGTAAAGATCCTATTCTTATTCTTTTAACACGTAAATTTCAACTGGTTCTTCAAGGGGCCTTTTTTTGATTATATTTTCAGCTTCTGCTGATTTATTCTTCTTCCACTTCATTAGGCTGTAAAGCACATAAACGACAATAATTATCCATGCTAATATTGTCGAAATACTCATAAAATCCGAATTCATTGTACCAAAATTGATATGATCAAGTTTTTCTACACTTTTAATTGGTTTCGACATGTCTCTTAGGAGTCCTAAACTTTCAATGTAAAATTTATCTACATGTGGTGTATTATACTTCCTCATATTTTCTTTAAGCTCATCAATGTTGAAGAAAACTCGAACAACGTTTATCTTTGTTTGGGTAGTTGGTCCAAACCTCATTGTAGTTATTAGTTTATACGTACCAGTAAGAGCGATACACTCAGGTTCAAGCATGATAATTCCAGAAGTATTTTCAACTAATATTTCATCAATAGTGTCAGCACCGCATGTAACTGTTAAGGTTTCATTGATTGGTGTATAGTAAAAGTATTCTCCATCATTAAGTTTAATAAACATGAGACTGGTTGTCTGTGCAGCAGAATATTTGCAAAGATTCATATCAATGGTCTTACTTCCAGCGATTGCATTGTTCAAGCAGTCAGTTGCATTTTTGTTCTTAATAGGACTTTGAGATTTGCAAAAATACATGGTTCCATTATATTGAGATTTTAAGCACACATCCATTGTCATGAATACAACTGTTTCATTATCATTTTCAGCTATGTACTTCCATATTACATCTGTCATAATTAATTTGCCTTCATTGCGTGCTGGAATTTCCACAATTTTAAATAACTTTCTTGCATCTTTTTCAACTATCGGCACATCAACTTCCACCACAATAATATCTTCACTAATCTTGTAGTTCAATGGCAAGTTGTAGTAATAATCCATTAGCTTGTGGTAAGGCAATTCTTCATTTTCTTCAATTTTCAATGTTATATTTTTAATATCCTTCTGAACCTCGGTTATTGGAATGATTTCAGTATTAAGACGTCTCTCGTTAAGCATTTTCGTTATAGCTTTAATAATTCTCTCTATATCGTTCTTTACATCCAATAAATTCATCATAGCTGTTCTCCTGTTCAGTTCTTCAACAGTTTTATTCATAAGAATTGTTGTATTATGAGCAACTGATTTCAAAGAGTTTGAAATTCCAACTATTTCATTTGATTTACTTCTTAAGTTATTTAAGTCGAGAGAAATTTTCCTACCATCTTCAGTGCTTAGCAATCCCATAAATTCTCGCTTCTTTCTAGAATGGACATTTCTTTTAGTTTTTACTAATCCATGTACAATATCTTTAAACTCCATTTCTTTCAATTCCAAAACCAATTTGATAGTATCGAGCTTCTCGTTAGTAGATGTATCATTATTAAACATATCCTTTACTAATTCAAAATGTTCTTTTGCGTTTTTAATTAATTCTGCAAATGTTCGAATATTTATTTGAAAGCTAATAGCTTTATAGCTTTTTATCAGTTTCAGTTCACCAATTTCTTCAAAATGAAGTGCTTGCATTTCCTCTAGAAGAGTCATTTTAAATCCATTTGAGAAACTAGCTGTTAAAGCTACTAACAGCAGTCTATTTAGAATAAATGAATACATCAATATTGATCAATATTACAAGTTTGATTAAAAGAATAAAAAAAAATTTAAATAAAAAGTCGAAGCAAGAAAATACTTACATAAATGGATATGAACCCATTTTCAATCAATTTTTCTGCTGTTTTAACAACAGAATGTACGAAAAATTTCCTCAATTCAATGATTTTGAATAACTAAACAAGAATTAAGCTTGATCGCAGTCTTTTATACACTGAATGAAGTGTCCACTAAGGATTTTTATTTCCAATTTATCATGTTTTATGATGCATCCCAAACAATATTCACTTAATTGAGATATGAGTAAGTAATTGTAATATTATTTGTTTTTATTTACATCATGTGAATAATCATATGCTAATAGCCAGGGGCGAAGCCAGGAATTTGAAAAGAAGAGGGGGGGGGGGGGGGGGTCATAAAACTCCTAGCAAATTGAAGAAATTTCTATTAACGTCGGGGGATTTGTCCCAAAAATCGACCTTGCTGCCTGCAGATTATTTTAGATATAGAGGTTGTATATAATTTGTCTTTACTGTTCTTGATAATATTGTGGATTAAAATGACACCATAGTTGTCGTTATCCTTAAAAGTTTAATTTTCCATACTAAGTTTTGAAAATTTCTCATTTTTTCAAAATTGCTATCATAGATGAATAAATCCAGTGCATTGTTGTTCCTTAATCATAAATTGACTGGCTAATTTTCTACAATTCTTTAACAAAAAATTCACATTCATTTCCACTTCACAAAGAAATTATTATTATTATTATTATTATTATTGAAGGGTTGAAAGGGCCAGAAATTGTTGAAAGGGATCAAAAAATAATAAAATAACATGTGAAGTGATGAAAAAGGTAAAAAAGAGAAAAATAATAAATAAACAGGACCTAATAAATAAAAAGCTTTCACACATTTTTGTGGGTATGACAAAGAGAAAGAAATGATAACAGAAGATAGGCTATGGCTGATGTGACACGTGGAAAAATAATGCATTGTTCAAAGTATAGAAATATTCAACTGCTTTAACTGTTTTGAATGAATACCATTGGTTATATTGTAAAATCACAAAAAAAAACTTATTGCACTTAATCATTATTTGTTTCATAAGTTAAATACGCTTTATTTCATTTAAATTTAAATATGTCTCAATTTCCGTCAAAAAAAAAATTTAATCTTTTTATTGGTCAACATTATTATCCAGAAAAGTACGATAAAGCACAACGCATAAAATTATTCATAATCCCTGTATGAATAATATTTGCTTATTGATATGAATAAATACGTGATGAACTTCATCATGATCATAATCACCATGAGCTCAGTTTTGATTTAAGACTAAGTGCTCGCAGTTGAAAAATTGGATTCATCTGTCAAATACTGATGGAGATATTGTCTGAGAGATTTTCATGTTGATTGAGGAGGTCTCTTATTCACATACTGAACAGACAACATCACGAACATGTACGAAAATAATAAAATATTGCGCGAAAATGAAAAAAAAAAATTCCACACATTTTATTCGCGCTTCCTTTTCTTTCGTAAATGCAAGAAATTTGTGTACATAGTGAGTATATTTGTTTTATCTAATGATTTTCAATGTTATAGACAATTTATGATATGTTTTCATTTCACTCAGCGTCGATGAAAAAGAAACAAAAGCAGGAAAAATTATTTTTATTTATTTTTTTTTTCTACAAGAAATTTCTATTAAAAAGTTGTTTCTTCTCATTTTAGCTAGACAGCGTGAAAGTGATGAGAAACTCCTCTTCTCCAGATTTTGTTGGATGTTGAATATTGAGGTTGGGACACTAGAGTTTTGAATTTAGTTCTAGCAAAGTGATGAGATGAAGTGGCTCGTTGGCGGAATGGTTTAGTAAATCGGTACCTAATTATTGCAATACCCGACACAGCGATCATGGGTTCGAGACTGGGTAGTGAAAATTTTTTTTCACTTGTCCTTTTGCGAATAATGTGTACTAGAAATGAGGCTCAAAACCTTCTTTTGAAGGCTACAGGCAGACATGTCATAAAAGGAGTGGTTCGGTCTAGATTTGAGTGCAGTGGTTTGGCCCATCCTCACTCGTTAAACTCTCCTTAGCTGTTCTAGCATAGTAGAGCACTTCCTGTTAACTTGCTTGCTTGTGTGTTCTATATTATAAAAACCCAATTCACTGACTCTAGGACAAAACCCGTGAAAAGCCAGTTTTAAAGTCAGGAAATCGCATAGAGATTTCTTCAGTTATGCTTGGAGGTTCAGAGCATGTACAGGAAATATATCTAGAATAATATGTAAAAAAATAAATTTTGCTTGACCAAGTGATAAAAGTGTTCTTTCCTCATAATAATTTCATCGCGAAACAAAACATGTACGTAAGAAAAACAGTTTAATCATTATCATCATGCCGTGTATACGCAAGCAGATTGATCAAGAAAAAGGCGTAAAATCGAGAAATTGTTTACATTTCAGCCATTAAATGTCTAGCTAATTATCGATCATGGGTACAAAATACGATGTTTATGGATGTTTAACAATTAAATATTAAATGGTGAATGAAAATTTATCGATTTTACATGCAAAGTTTATTGGACATTTCATAGGCGAGCTGTCGTGGCTGGTCATGTAATATGAGAATGAATGAAAGTATTTTGTGGATTTTTTTATTTTGAGGTCAAGGTATCGACGACTGTTTCTTACTCACTTGAGACAATGAAAAAACGCAAAAGAGCAGTCAAGAAGGAAATGAATATTTTGACTTTTGGAATCAAGAAGACATTGTTCTGCGTAATATAATTAATTATTGAACGAAAAATCTCATTAAATATTTAACTTGGAAATTTCTTCTTTTCCTTTTGCGACATTTAGATTAAAACTTAATTTAAAGATGGAAAAAGGTGTAGTTTTGACGTCAAAAAGATTTTGATCAACTTTAATTATGGATATTAAAATGAACATCTTTTAAATCTTGAAATTAAATGAACAATATTAAATCCTCAAGAACTTTAAATTCATCATTAAATTGATACATTTCAAGCATAAAAATGAAATAGGAGAGCAATAAATTCAACTTCATTACCTATTAATAACAGGTTTCTCCTTTCATAGCCTTTATCTTTAAATATTTATATTAATTGATGAATGCGTATATAAAGATTTATAAATACATGCTTGAAGCTATTTCATTCTCATTGAAGTCATTCTCGAATTTCATTATTTTCTCCAATATGTTCATTGATCAAAAGGTTTTCTACATTTAGCTTCATATTTTGTTTTGCTTTGCTGGTCGTATACAAAACGAAATGAAATTCAAACGAACGAAAACAATTGTTCTTCTGTTTGGGTTCGAAATAAGAATAATTTTTTTAAGAATTTCGAATTGAATTTTGAAGAAAATAAATTAAAATCTTAGAGTAATCGGTCAACCCCTGCAAATGGGCTATGAATTATTTTAACTATGTATAAATTTTACTAAAATCCGATCTTATCTTTAAATTTAATATAAAGACATTTCTAGTAATTTACATGTAAGAGAAAGCTCTAAATTTGCACGTGACACCACTTTGCGTCCACTTGAAATGGCTTTCAAGCGGCGACCGATTGGTTAAACATGGCTTTCGGGTGGCAAATATTTCAATGTGTGCCGATCGGGACTTTTTGTTAAATTTAATGAAAACTCCTCGTTTATTATAAATCTATCAATTTTAATGAATTCGATTTCCCAAAAACCCGTAAATTATTTCAGTAAAAATATATTTAATGGTGTATTGATCAGTTTTGATGATGTTTTGCATTAAAAGCAATTACGACTTCTGTTATTGTTTTCCTCTTTTCGTTTTCATTTCATTTATGCATCAAATATTCATGAAGTGTGATCCAAAAATATGAAATATAAAGCAGAGCTCGTTCGATGCAAAATCCAAACTTTCAGATTTTATTTACAAGATCCAAATATTTTAAAATGATATTCATTAAATTTTCAGATAAAGCAAGGAATACAAATTGTGAAAGTTATTAAAAATATCAAAAATAATTGGATTCATAAACTGTGCGTGTTTTCATTTCAAATGCAAAAGGAAGCTTGTAAACTCTCATTTTATGAAAATGATAAACCCATCGAGTGCAAATCAAGTATTGAATCTATTATTTCATGTAAAAATTATTCTGCTAATTATTGTATTTAAAAATGTAGAATTGAATGTGAATTCGAAAGAAGTTTTAAATATTTTTGGTGGGATTATTTTTTTCAGCTGCTTATAACAAGTGGGTTAACCATTGTAATACATAAAATTATTAAAAACTAAAATGCTTAAAAGCAAAAATTTAACCAAATTATTTAATAAATATCAATTACTTTGATAAAACCAATAAAAAATGACAAACCCAAAGCTTTAAATAAACTATTTTATTTCTGTCCAAGCAGTCAAAACTTGACATCAACCAAAACACTCCGCAGGACACGAACCATAAATTTACTATTCTCATTCATAAAAACACTTTATATTCATGAAAAAGACGGTCAAATTTTAAAAAAACAATTTTACTAATTATAATTTTCTCATTTAATAATGCCATGATATGGAGCAAAACTTTCCATAAAAATCATTAATAAAGTACACAACAACTAAGGCCGAGCTCGAAAATCACTTCAATAATTAATTAAAACGGGAGAAAATAAGCACTCAAGTCAGCCACAAACCAAGCAAGAGTCAAAAGAAGATTGTGAAGCCTCATAGCTAAGTATATTTTTCTATTCAGATGTTGTCAGCAGATTGTAAACTGCCTCAAGAATTTTACCTTCTTCAATATCATTTTTCAATAAACGTGCTGAATAAGCAATAAAATGAAGAAGAGGAATTTAGCAGTTTCATAAAATTTTAGTTTTATATTTTTTTACAAAAGTTCACAGGTGTCAGGCGTTCATTGATGAAGTTAACAATTCAGTTCCTATTTTGTATAAAAATGAACTGCAATTGTCTTTTATTATGAATTATTATTTATTTCTATACAACGTCACAAAATGTCCAAAAATTTAATCAATAATCTTGAAAGATTGTTGTAAATCGTTATATTTTAAGGATGTTGTAACAATGCTTCTTGTTCTCATTA